GGGCCTGAGGAGGTTCTGGGGGTGCCCCTGGAAAGAGGAACCCTCCAGGTGCTCACGAGAGACCCAGGGGAGGTTTTGGGGTGCCCCTGCAAACAGGAGGGTCTCAGTTTTTTACAAGGGGCCCGGGGGAGGTTTTGGGGTGCCCCTGCAAACAGGAGAGCCCCAGGGGCTCAGGGGAGGTTTTGGGGTGCCCCTGCAAACAGGAGGGCCCCAGGGGCTCAGGGGAGGTTTTGGGGTGCCCCTGCAAACAGGAGAGCCCCAGGGGCTCAGGGGAGGTTTTGGGGTGCCCCTGCAAACAGGAGAGCCCCAGGGGCTCAGGGGAGGTTTTGGGGTGCCCCTGCAAACAGGAGAGCCCCAGGGGCTCAGGGGAGGATTTGGGGTGCCCCTACAAACAGGAGAGCCCCATTTTTTTACGAGGAGCCCAGGGGAGGTTTCGGGGGGGGGGGAGTTGCCCCCCACTCACCCCTGGGCACGGAGGTGACGATGTGGCTGAAGGGGCCGCTGCCCAGCTTGTTCTGGGCCAGGACGCTGAACTGGTAGCCGGTGTGGGGCTGCAGGTTCTCCACCAGCAGGTGCCGGGCGCCGGCGGGCACCGGCAGCGACACCCAGTCGTGGTGCGCCCGCGGCGGGGGCTTCACCCTGGGGATGGGGGGGGTCAGTCATCAACCCCAGGCTCGGCAGGGCTCTGGGGTGGCACAGGGAGGGTGGGGACACTCACAGGGGGCTGTACCAGACGCTGAACCGCTGGAAGAAGCCTCCATCGAAGCCCGGCTCCCAGGAGATGTTGGCGGCCAGCGGCAGCGCCAGCACCGACACGTTGGTGACGGCGTGGGGGCTGGTGCCTTTGGGGGGGCACGGGCAGGGAGGGGGGGTCAGAAGATCAGCCAGGTTGGGGAGAGAGCTGGGATCAATCAGAGAGCCCGACCCGGGACCTGACACCCCCCTGGCAACACCGGGAGCCCCCCCAGGTCTGTCCTTAAACACCCCCGGGGATTTGGGGATTCCCAAACCTCCCCGGGGATCTGGGGACACCCAAACCTCCTCAGGGATCTGGGGACACCCAAACCTCCCTGGGCAGCCCCAACAATCCCTTTCCAGGAGCAGCTTCCTCCCAGTGTCCCCTCTGACCCTCCCCTGGCACAGCTTGGGGTCGTTCCCTCTCCTCCCGTCCCTTATTCCCTGGGAGTAGGGGATTATTCCCTGGGAGTAGGGGATTATTCCCTGGGACCCCTCCCAGCTCCCCCTTTCCTGTCAGGGAATTCCAGAGAGCCAGGAGGTCCCCCCTGAGCCTCCTTTTCTCCGGGATGAGCCCCCCCAGCTCCCTCAGGAATTCCTCCAGCCCCTCCACGCCCTTCCCTGAATTCCCAGAAGCTGGCACAGCCCTCCAGGTGTGTGGGAAGTCCCCCCCAGGGGATGGCCCCTCACCCAGCACGTGGACAGAGGTGGCCGTGGTGACAGTGGCCACCCTGTTGGTGGCCCTGCACTCCCAGAGCCCGTGCTGGTCCTTGGTGAGGGGGTGCAGGACGAGGCTGCCGTTCCCGTCCACCCGGGCGCTGCTCTTGGACGCGCCGCCCACCTGTGCGGGGCACGGGCACCGTGAGCAGGGGGGGGACACCCCCTGCCCACCCCACAGCGGGGCTGCGATGAGGGGACGTGGTGGTGGTGACCCCCAGGGATGAGGGGACATGGTGGTGACCCCCAGGGACAAGGGGACGTGGTGGTGGTGACCCCCAGGGATGAGGGGACATGGTGGTGGTGACACCAGGGACAAGGGGACATGGTGGTGACCCCCAGGGACAAGGGGACATGGTGGTGGTGGCCCCACAGCTCCAGGGATAAAGGAACTTGGTGGTGGTGACCCCAAAACTCCAGGGACAAAGGGACATGGTGGTGGTGACCCCCAGGGACAAGGGGATGTGGTGGTGGTGGCCCCACAGCTCCAGGGACAAAGGGACATGGTGGTGGTGACCCCCAGGGACAAGGGGATTGATGGTGGTGACCCCAAAACTCCAGGGATAAAGGGACATGGTGGTGGTGACCCCAGGGACAAGGGGACATGGTGGTGACCCCACAGCTCCAGGGACAGGGGGATGTGGTGGTGGTGACCCCCAGGGACAGGGGGACGTGGTGGTGGTGGTGACCCCACAGCTCCAGGGACAAAGAGGACAAAGGGACTTGATGTGATCCCTCGTCTTGGGGTCGCCTTGGAAAACAAAGGGCAGGATTTTGCCCAGGGATGAGGGGACAGGGGACAGAGCCCCAGGAGGGATTTGGGGACAGGGAGTGTCCCAGGGGTGATTTGGGGACAGGGACACTGCCCAGGGGTGATTTGGGGACAGGGAGTGTCCCAGGGGTGATTTGGGGACAGGGACACTGCCCAGGGGTGATTTGGGGACAGGGAGTGTCCCAGGGGTGATTTGGGGACAGGGACACTGCCCAGGGGTGCCCCCCCTGGACCCACAGCCCCCCAAACCCCCCCAGGGTGTGTCCCACCCCCCCCCCAAGAGCAGCAGGTCCCACCTTGACCCAGGTGACGGTGGGTGGGGGGTCCCCCTGGGCCTGGCAGGGCAGCACCAGCTCCCGGCCCACCTCCTGGAAATATTCCTGCTTGGGACGCACCCGGAACGCTGGGGGGTCCTGGGGGAGAGGGGAACACTTGGGGGGGCTTGGCATGGGGGGGGGGACAGGGCACAGAGCCCTGGGAGGGGCACACGGAGGGGCTCAGGGCCTGCTGGCCCCCCTGACACACCCACACACAC